TCTTCTTCTTCTTCTTCTTCTTCTTCTTCTTCTTCTTCTTCTTCTTCCTCCTCCTCCTCCTCCTCCTCCTCCTCCTCCTCCTCCTCCTCCTCCTCCTCTCCTCTACTATTTGCAACATTTTATATTTTACAGAAGTACCTCTTCCCCCAAACCTCCGCCTTAGGCTTGTAAATAGAAAGTTAGAATGCCACATGGTATATTTGAGTGATAAGGACCACAGGGAGATGACAATTCTTCGTTTATTTATTTATGTATTCGATTTTTTTTTTACTTCCGCCTGTCTCATTCAAGGACTCCAGATGGCTTACAATTCAAAATAAATATTACAATTAAGACACTGAAAGCATTTTAAAACAATTATTAAAAACCCGTAAAAACCGTCCACCTTAAATAGAGAGAGCCAAGATACTTGGCCAAGTATGGCCATTAACACATTCGGCACCCCAAGGCATGGAACGTGGCGAGGGGTTGATAACAATCTAACAGGGTTGGGCCCTTTCTGATCTGTGAAGGGAGGCTATCCTATAGACCAGGGAATCTTCTGGATCGCTTTAGGGTGATGGTATATGCAGCCAAATCTGCTAGATCTGGTTGGACCACACTTGGAATGTTATATTCAGTTTTGGTCGCTACATTATATAAAAAAAAAAGATGTTGAGACTCTAAAAAAAGTACAGAGAAGAGCCACAAAGATGATTAAGGGACTGGAGGCTAAAACATATGAAGAACGGTTGCAGGAACTGGGTATGTCTAGTCTAGGGAAGAGAAGGACTATGGGAGACTTGATAGCTGTCTTCCAATATCTGAGGGGCTCTTACAAAGATGAGGGTATCAAACTATTCTCCAAAGCCCCAGAGGGAAGGATAAGAAGCAATGGATGGAAATTAACCAAGGAGAGAAGCAACCTAGAATTAAGGAGAAACTTCCTGACAATAAGAACAATTAACCAGTGGAACTCCTGGCCTCCAGAAGTTGTGAATGCTCCAACACTGGAGGCTTTTAAAAAGACACTGGACATTCATTTGTCTGCAATGGTACTATAGGGTCTTCTGCTTAACCAGGGGTTGGACTAGAAGACGCCCAAGGTCCCTTCCAACTTCTCTTGAGTTGTCAGTTGACACAGTCTTTGTTTTGGTGGAGATATTATGGATTAAATTGAAGACGGAATCTTTATTGCTCTGACCTGCTTGAAGTTGCCTTCAAAAATGACATATTAAAAATTAACTAACGTTGGTGACAAAGTTCTGTTCACCCTCAGATTTTCCCATTCGGTTTAAACAAACAGCCTTAACTTGAAAGCATAAGTAGATTATATAAAAGGTATCGATCTCTTATGCTTTTTTTTCCCCTTCCAGCCCTATTACTGGATTCCTTTGAACTGTTAGCAATTCTGATCATCTTGTGGTTTAGTTTAGTTTAGTTTATTGTCATTGCACCTCGTACAATGAAATTTAATGCCATCTTCAGTGTACATTATAACTATAAAAATAAAACACAAACACACATTCTTCACATTTTATGCAATTGAATTGAAAACCCCTAATATTGCATTAATATTGCACTATACAGTGGAATTCAATAGAGTTACTGCCCTGGGATAGAAGCTGTTTTTCAGTCTATTTGTCCTTGTTTTTATTATTCTGTACCGGCTGCCTGATGGTAATAGTTCAAAAACAGGGGTTCCCAGAATGAGGTGGATCTTTGAGGATGTTTTGACCTTTCTTAAGGCAGCGGGAGCTATAAAGCTCTTCCAAAAAGGGGAGAGGGCAGCTCATGATCCTCTAAACAATGACGTTAACCCTCTGGAGTGCTTTCCTATCTGCCACTGTGCAAGTGGCAAACCTTACACAGGGCCAGTAAGTTAAGATACTCTCTATGGTATAGCGGTAGAAAGTCACCAGCAGTGAGCCCTGAAATGGTGAAGATCCTGCCCCTCCCTCAGCTAAGTTCATCTCCAAGATCTTTTTTTTTCTTCTTCTTCTCTTCAAATATCTCATACCATTTAGGAATGAAGAAAGGACTCACTTTGGGTGAGAGGTTAATTATTAAATGGTGAGAAAAGAAACACGAGCCAATTAGAAAAAAATAATGAGTGCTGAGCAGATAAGGGGATCTAAAAATCAAGTGCCTGTTTTACGTCACCGGTGCAAGCTGTGGGAAGCTTGTTAAAACTGCAGGAAATAAGGATTAAAATGCTGAAAACTATTTCTGTGCACAGGATATAAAACTTTGAATAAATATATATATATATTTTCAAGTTGAAACATTAACTATTTTGCACACAAAGACGGAAGGCAAGTAGCTGTTGAAACATCATTAGTTCTTGACCATTGTCCAACGCAACCAACCTCAGACGGCAGCCCTCCGTTTACAGCATTCATTTATTGACTGTTCAAAGTTACAACGGCACTGGGAAAAAGTGTACTTATTTTCACATTTTACGACCGTTGCAGAATCCTCATGATCGCGTGATCAACATTTGGGTGCTTGACAACTGACTCGTATTTATGACGGTTGCTGTGAGTCACCGCGATCCCCTTTTGCGAACCTTCTGACAAGCCAAATGTCAAGAGGGAAGCCAGAATCGTTTAACAACCACATTATTAGCTTAACAAATTCAGGGATTCACTTAGCTGGGACAAGAAAGGGGGGGGGAAATGGGGGCAAAACGCATTTTGTCCCACTTAGCGATGGAAATGTTGGGCATTCCATCATTCGGCTCTTCTCCAGCGAGTCCTTCCTTCTCATGAGGTGGCCAAAGTCTCTGAGTTTCCTCTTCAGGACCTGGCCTTCTAAAGAGCAGCCAGGGTGGATCTCCTCTAGGACTGACCGGTTGGATGGCCTTGCTGTCCAAGGGCCTCGCAGGAGTCTCCTCCACCAGCCCCAGAGTTCAAAGGCCTCCATTCTTTGGCGCTCAGCCTTCCTTAGGGTCCAACTTTCCCAGCCATGCATTGCAACTGGGAAAACCACAGCCTTGACTATATGCCCTTTTGTTGGCAGGGGGACGTCTCTGCTTTTTGGTATGTTGTCTAGATTTGCCACAGCTTTCCTCCCCAAGAGCAAACATCTTTTAATTTCTTGGCTGCAGTCCCCATCTGCGGTGATCTTGCAACCCAGGAAATGTTATGATTGAATGATTTTGTCTGCGGAAAGTTGGATGCTGAAATCTTTACCCATCAAGAGAGATGGCAATCCGAAAAATAAAATGTTGGGATCCTAACATGTTGTAGGCATGTCTTCCTTTTCTTTGGTACAACATTCCTTTTGTTGTGCAAGGAATTTTGAAATCAAGATACAGGCATCCTTTCAAGCCCGGCCAAATCAACCTGCTACATAAAAAGCCTTGTTTCTTAATAATAGTATTCCTCCCCTCAATACTTCCGGCCTTTAGAAACCACTTTCAAAGAAGGAGTGGTGTGTAAGGTTCATTTAGCTTCTCAAGTGAGAGGGCAGAATTAAAAATATGCTTTCCAAGGGTGTCATTAAGTAATTTTAGGCTCTGGGCTTAAGCTGCCCACAAAATTTCTCGGTCTCTTTGTGTGGGCTATTGTACCGATTTGCTTCCTGGATTTCTTTTTTTTAAAATCCCTTTGTTCCAGGGGAAACAAAAGAGAGTGGCATCTAAGCTTTTGAAAGCTACACTGATAATCATCTCTTGATGGGTTTGGAAAAAAAAAAAACTGCAGACCTCAAGTGGCACTTAAGGTATTTCAAAGGGGTGGTTTTTCTGGTTTGCTGCCCTGAGATTCTGACCCGCTGCAAATGTTGACTTCCCCAAGGTGTTTAGAACAATGAATTCTACAGCTGGAAGGGTCCTGGGAGGTCTTCTAGTCCAACCTGCCCCGCTCAAGCAGGAGAGCCTGTCCCATTCTGCACAAACTCGTGTCCAATCTTTTCAGTAGTGGTCAGGAGTCAAAAGAAAAAAGAAAAATGAAAATAGAAACTATCTCCCTGTTCTTATATGTTGTAAAACAGTCCCAGAGACACAATTTGACGTAGCAGTGAAAGGCCCCAGTTTAGGAATGAAGAGTTTATGAGTCCTGGTCCGACCTTGGACACAAAGCCTTTGGGCCAGTCCCTCTATGTCTCAGCCTTAGAAGGATAGGGGTTAGTCTTCCAATATTTGAGGGGCTGCCATGAAGAAGAAGGGGGTCAAGCTATTCTCCAAAGCACCAGAGGGCAGGACGAAAAGTAACAGATGGAAACTTATCAAGGAGAGAAGCAACCTAGAACTAAGGATAGATTTCCTGACAGTGAGAACAATCAACCAGTGGAACAGCTTGCCTCTAGAAGTTGTGGGTGATCCATCGCTGGAGGATTTTAAGAAGAGCTTGGACAACCATTTGTCCAGAATGCTAAAGGATCTTGGGCCAGGAGTTGGACAAGAAGACCTCCGAGATCCTTTCCAGCGGTGTAATTCTGTGAAAAAAGGGCAAAACAGGCCCAAATTATATTGTCAAGAAAATTTCAGAGATTAGACGAGGCGGAGTCCACGTTGACTCAAAGGCGCGCACATTCTCACACAATTGCCACAGGGGCTCCATAACTTAGACAAGAGGGGTAACAGCACATCCATGGAGGTGAACTCCCCACCTTCCGCCCTCCAAGTCAGATTTGGGAAGGGGGGGGAAGTGATTTCAAGGCCAAGTATGGGGTTTTTGCATCCATGCACCTTGCATGATTTAAAAGTTAGCCCTGGGCATTGGAGACGGCCTATTCCGGAGTGACCTTGGTTGTTGGCCCCACGATTGTGACTCATCACCGCAGTTTGTGTGGGATAGGTGTGGCTGTCGTCACCTGGCTTGGGTGCCCCCTTGCCCATCTTTTTACAGCTCTTTGGAATGTGGAAACTCTGTTGGTACAAGGTTGGTTCCTTGGCTGAAGGCCACCAATTCAATCAACTCATTGGATTATCCCTGTTTCTATATATAGAGATAGACGCACGCTGTCTAAACAAGAATGTTCAATAGATGAGATCAAATGGGGGAGTTAATGTCCTTGGTGACTTTTTCTGACTTTTTTCTTTCTGTCCAACTTGATGCAAATGAAATAGATTATATCTTGGTTGCTAGTCAGCCCAACATCTAAGTATCCATAACCGTTCTTCTTTTTTCTTTTTCTTTTTCTTTTCTTCCTCTTCATCCCCTTCTTCCTCCTCCTCCTCCTCCTCTTCCTCCTTCCCTTATATAGAAGAACACATAGAACTTTCTCAGTTAAAGACGACACCTTAGCTTTAAAATCACACAGAATGGGACTCAGTACAAGTGGGAGAGGATGCAGTTCTCTCCAGAAGAATCTATTTTTTTTTACAAACTGTTTTGCAACCAGACCGGAACTTGTTCTAATTCACAGGCTTTATCAGATGAGTTTCGCCTGAGCCCCCAAACCTCAAAAGCAGATCATAGACGTTAAAAAACCCACACACGTATATTTCCTTGAAGCAATGATCGCTACACTCAGCCTAATTGTGCAGTGTTTTGCGTGCTGCAATTTGCAGCCCAAATCGGATTTTCCCACCCCAGGAAATGAATGCAGGTGCTGAGAGCAAGAGGTTAATCCTTCCTTGAGCTAAGCTCTCCAGGCATCCCGGCTCTGTGAAAGTCTTGCATTGTTCTGGGAAGCTGGGAAGAAAGGAAGGAGCCTTGCAGGGCACCCCCCCCCCCCCCCCCGCAAGTTGATGGCCTACAAAGATGCTGCTTGCAGCCTCGCAGGTGGTCAAAACTGTGTTTCTAGTTGGCGTGCCTACGACAAAAGGAAATATGTGGTTAGAAGGAAGCCATGGCCACCTCAATTGATTTGGAATGCAAATGCCATCAAATCCAAAACCGAGACCGGGAAGGGAACGTCCCTCCTTCCTTCTCCCTTCCTGGATTTGAGTCGGAGAACCTGGCAACACAGACCTGTGGCCCATGAAGTAGGATGTCCAAATGCCAGGCAGAAGATCTCAGAAAGAGGAGGAGGGAGGAGGAGGAGGAGGAGGAGGAGGAGGAAGATGATGATTATATCTGGATTTCTGGAAGATGTTCTCCAGGATCCATACGATCACCAACCTGACCCATTGTTAGGAATGTAAGTCACCTAACAGTTGGGTTGGAAATATATGAACCAGGATGGACATTTAATACTGTCTCTTTAAGGGAATGCTGAAATTGTAATTGGGTGTGGTTCCTCAAACGGCCATAACATGGAGCCAGAAACCTGGGTTGTTTGTTCTGTTGTTGTTAGATGTTCTGATGTTTGATGTTGGTTGGTTTGCATTTTCTTTCCTATTGACTGTTGCTGATCGTTGTTCTTCTTGGATTGCTGTAAGTCTGTTACTGAACTGTGTATGATACTGGACTTTGTTATTTGGATCATCCCTGGACTGAAAACTGACTGCTATAACCGTGTATGACTTGGACTGTTTGTTGGACTTTGCTTAACCGTTTACTGGAAGTAAAACCTACATTTTACTATACAGTGTAACTGTGTGCTGTGTGTGTGTTATTCAACATTACTCTCACTACGTCTCCCTGTGTGCACTCATTCTCCTAACGGGGAATTACCTCAACACCCACCACCCACCTAATTTCCAAAATCAGAAGGAACCTGACTAGATGATTATCTTCATGACTGTTTGAATTGGGAACTCCCAACACCTTGCCGCTTTTTGTCTTCTCAGAAATGGGCTCCAAGTGGAACAGCAGGTTTCTCCGTGGAAGTCTGACTCTTTTGGGCATCTTTTCTCTCACTGCCCTGATCCTTAGCTTGGTGAGAATCCACAACACTACACAACCTTCTAAGGACAAGGTGAGCGTGTGCAAAGCAATATGGAGACAATGTGGTGAAAGTAGCAAATCAGGGTGTCAGGATTCTGGCAATTGCCCTAATTTAATCATGAGCCTCCAGTCAAGCTTTAAAAGAAACCAAAAGATTTATTAGGAGCAACATGTCCGGCATTAACCTGGAGGAAGCAAACTCTGGCATACATAATTTACAGTCCCCTGTGACCCTGTTTCCCCGCTCCCTCCTGGGTGTGCCATAAATCAGATTCT